TGCTAGGTTAGCAGGAGCTGGAACTAGAGAGGGGAGCTCACTCCGTCATGTGGCACTCGGGTCTCGAACTGCTGAACTACTGACCTTCCACAGCCTGCAGTTCAGTGTCTTAACCACTTGAGCCACTGCAGCTCAAGTATCCTACTGTTCCTTATAAAGTGCCACGGGCACCCCTCGTTTTGACTTCGCAGACTGTTATTCCCATCATGGTGTACATAGACGACAGTCTGGGGCTCATTTCAAACATTGGACAAAAATGTGCCATGGTGGGCACAGGTTCTTCAGGGGGAGTGCAACCCCATGGCAGACAGGTTGCGTATCACTTATAAAAGTCATCTACATCCACAACCGCCTTCATCTTGTCCACACCCATCTAACCCATCACCAACAGCTAGTTAGAGATGTACCATGGCTGATGCTATTGAAAGCCACTGAAATCTCCAGGGGAATTCATAGCAATACATTTGCCCTGTCCAGTGTAACCTGGCCACTATCAGTCCTAAACAGAGTTACACCTTTCTAAATCCATTGAAGTTAATGCACTTAGAGGTGCATTGCTCCTGTTTCGGACTGCATGTCAAAGTATGAATATGTATTAGCTTCCATGGGAGCCCAGCATCAAGACTAGGAAAGAAATTGACTTAAGGCTTCTTAGCTGTGGCGTTCCACACCTTTGGGAAGTAATGGGACAGCAAAAGAAGGAAAGATTTCTGGCTATGGAGAACAAGGGAAGAGGAGGAGGAGAAGAAAGAATGCAGCTGACTCCGCAGGCACAGAAGTAGCACATAGAACATAACTTAGCTGTTTTTAAGAGAAACGTCCTGTGATGAGTTGGAGCATCCTAACTGAGTATATATGATCTGCAGCTACCTGACCGTCAGCTGTGAGGAATTCTGCCCTCATGCACATGTGGACATTGCTTGCATCATTGCTAGTTTGGAATTGCAAGCAAATAGGGGGAGGGGTGTGTGTCAACAGAGACTCCTGAACCCAGTAATTTCAAACAAGGTACATTCCAAAGTCAAGTGCATGTTGTGTGTGTGGAAAGTTCACAGCCTCTGTGCTGGGGGCAAATCTACTGTACAACACTGGGGGAAAGCAATGATTGTGTGTGTGTGTGTGTGTAAAATGCCATCAAGTTGCAGCTGACTTATGGTGACCTTGTAGGGTTTTTGAGGCAAGATGTTCAGAGGCATGCTGTTGTGACCCTGGTATTCCTTGGTAGTCTCCTATCCAAATACCGATCAGGGCCGAACCTGCTTACCTTCCAAGATCTGCCATGTTCAGGCTATCTTGGACCATCCTATTTATTTATTTATTGGATTTCTACCCCGCCCTCCCAGCCAAGGCAACGATAGCAGGGAAGTAATGGCCTCACTGCCCCAGAGTAGGCCATAAAAAATTGCGTAAAGGTAAAGGTTCCCTTGCTCGAAAGCCAGTCGAATCCGACTCTAGGGTTGCGGTCCTCATCTCCGTTTCAAAGACGAAGAGCCAGCGCTGTCCGAAGACGTTTCCGTGGTCACGTGGCCGGCATGACTAAACACCAAGGCGCATGCAACACTGTTACCTTCCCACCGACGTGGTACCCATTTATCTACTTGCAGTTTCTTGCTTTTGAACTGCTAGGTTGGCAGGAGCTGGAACTAGAGACGGGAGCTCACTCCATCTTGCGGCACCCGGGTCTCGAACTGCTGAACTACTGACCTTCCACAGCCTGCAGTTCAGCGTCTTAACCACTTGAGCCACTGCAGCTCCAAAAATTTGCTTACTTCATGGCAAATGAGAGGGACAGAAAGATGAAAACGCTGCTTTATGTGTGCAGACGTAGTGTATGGAGGAGGGTAGTGGCTGCTGGACCCACACTCAAAGCAGTGAACAAATCCTGTGTGCATACAAGGCCTACAGGAGCAGGCTCTGTTTACAGCTTCAGGGGAGCAATTGGCCAGGGGATTGATCCTGCTCTCTCCTGCCCCTTGGTCATATCGATATGTGTCAGTGCGCAGGGTTCATGGCATAACAAGGAGGAGCATGGGTGAAAACATTTGGGGAAAGATGGTATCCTTCTTCAGAAAACAAATGGGCACCTTGAAGGTGGAGCAAGCAGAATTGGGTGGGCAAGCTCAGCTGCCCCCTACCCTGCATGTATGCATTGTTCTTTGAAGGGTTGAACAGAGCCTGTTCACATACAAATGGATGAAATTATTGCTCTCCATATCCCCAAAATGCTAACTATATTAGCTCTCACGGACTATCAGGTTATAATTTAGGTAGTTTTTCTTCTTCTCTGTTATCCAGAAATAGCTGGTCTTAATATAGCTTTAAAATGGCTTCCTTGCATTCTGTTAAGGTTCTACACCTCAGTTAATGATTGCCCTTGTCTGTCTGTCAAGATACGTGCATAACTGCCATGGTTACCACTTTCAATTTTGATCCACTTTGTTTGACTTGAAGCCTCTAGCTATTGCTTGAAATTTTTGCGGGGCTGAATAATGGAGATGGCAAACTTTAGCACTGGAGGAATATTTAAAGTCCATACTCATTTGATTCAAATGGAGAGAAAATTACTTCTAGGCATTGTTTGACCTTTGAGGTGATCATCTGAATGAATTTGCAGACACATTCAAGCCATTGCTGGGCTCCCCCCCCCCCCCCCCCCCCGGCCCCATGTAAGTGTGTGAAAAGCAGCAATTTATACCTAATCCAATTGAATAGCTCTGTCTTCTTCCATCTTGATAAGTATATCAGATAATAATTTAATGGAACGACGAGGAGTCCAGCCGTAATGTGTTTGCAGACAAATAACACACTGGCTAACCATCCACATTTTTGGATAATGTAATTATGGCTAAGATCCAAAGAGGTACTTCGGGGTATGCCCAGCAGAATTCTTGATCTTTGCTTTAGGCAGCAGAATCCCTGCACATTCAAAAGCACGTTGTCATCTGGAATGGGGATGGGGGAGATGATGCTTCGGAGATGAGTCTAAAACCACCATCGTCGATAGGATTGCCAGGGGAGTAGGGTTGCCAGATCCAGATGGGGAAACTCCTGGAGGTGTGGGAATGGGGCCTGAACAGTACAGGGAGCTCAGTGGTGGGCCGTGCCAAAGAGTCCATTCTCCAAAGCATCCGTTTTCTCAAGGGGAACTGACTTCCATTGTCTGGAGATGAGCTGTAATTCCAGGGGATTCCGAGGTCCCACCTTGCAACTGGCATCCCTATAATTAAGTAAAGGTAAAGGTTCCCTTGCTCGAAAGCCAGTCGAATCCGACTCTAGGGGGCGGTGCTCATCTCCGTTTCCAAGCTGAAGAGCCAGCGCTGTCCGAAGACATTTCCGCGGTCATGTGGCTGGCATGGCTAAACACCAAGGCACACGGAACGCTGTTACCTTCCCCCTGAAGTGGTACCTATTTATCTACTTGCAATTTCTTGCTTTCGAACTGCTAGGTTGGCAGGAGCTGGAACTAGAGACGGGAGCTCACTCCGTCATGCGGCACACTCGGGTCTCGAACTGCTGAACTACCGACCTTCCACAGCCTGCAGTTCAGCGTCTTAACCACTTGAGCCACCGCAGCTCCTTCCCTATAATTAGTTACCCAGTATTTTGGACCCGAGCCTATGAAACCATTAATAGGCTTCCTTGGAAGTGTGAGAGAGAACACAGCTTCAGCACAAATGGTACAGCTGTATATTTCCATAGGAGAGGCTCTGGTTTGATGGCAGTTGTCCCCACCAGCCTGGAGAGTCACTCAGGTCATGATTTCGATCTCTGAGGGAAGAACCTGAGGTCAGCCTGCTATCTGGATTGAATGCCCTGGTGCAATTTGAGCAAAGTGCTTCCAATGCTGCAGCCATGAAAATGGAAGGCAGGGAAACCAAGGGAAATAATGTAAGGGGGGGGACACACACCCACAAATCTTGCTCAAAGTTAAAGGACTATGTTTTTTAAAAAGAAAACCAAGTTGAAAAGAAAACCTGTTAAGGTTTCATTCTGTGAACAGAAGGTTATGGCACCTGTTTTGCTGCTTGGCCTTAATAGCTGAAATTTAATATTGTTACCCGGAAAGGAAAAGTCTGACAAATGTTTACAAATAAAAGGATCCTGGGATTGTAAACAAATCCAGTGGAATTACTTCCCATCCAGTAATATACAAAACTGTTTTTGTTCGTTAGCATTCCTATAGTGCATGTGCTGGTCAAAGTAATTGACACACATGATCTTGTGGCGGTCCTCTTAAAACATGCACAGGGCAAATAGTATTACCCTCTTCTCGTAATGGAGGGCTTAGTAAATTCATGAAGCAGATAAGCAGGAGGTGGTGGTGGCTACAAGCATGGACAGCTTCAAGAGGGAATTAGATAAGCATATGGAGCAGAGGTCCATCGGTGGCTATTAGCCACAAGGTATAGATAGGGGCTCCAGGGCAAGTGATGCTCTGTCTTCTTGGTGCTTGGGGGGGGGGGTCAACAGTGGGAGGGCTTCTAGTGTCCTGGCCCCACTGCTGGACCTCCTGATGGCACCTGGTATTTTTGGCCACTGTGTGACAGAGTGTTGGACTGGATGGGCCATTGGCCTGATCCAACATTGGCTTCTCTTATGTTCTTATCCAACATTGGCGTCTCTTATGTTCTTATGTTAGACTTGAATGGGGAACGTCATGGATCACAGCGTAGTCTGCTGTCTACACTAGCTGTAAATAACAAAATACATAAATAGGAAATTGGAAGTATTGTCAAATATGCCTTACACACACACTCTCTCTCTCTCTTTGGGTCTGTTAGATCCCTAGATTAGATTAATAAAGTGCTTTTTACAAGAGGATAAAGATCACTGTTAAATATATGTCTGACACCAGCTTTTCACTTCACGTCACTTGAGTCATAATTCATGGAAGTACAATGACTCCTGCATGTTTTGTCTGTGCAACACTCGCGTTTTAAAATTTAATTTCTCTACACTGTGTACTTAGTTTTGTCCTGTTTGTCCCCCAAAACCATTAGCACTGACAAAACAGATGATGAGGATGACGAAGACCTAGCTGGCAACAAGACATGGGTGCTGTCCCCAAAGATCCACGAAGGAGACGTCACTCGCATACTGAACTCTTTACTCCAAGGGTACGACAACAAACTTCGGCCAGACATTGGAGGTAGGCAGCAGTACTCTTTCCGTCGCTAGAAGATGTGCGGCCTTTGTTTGGATGTTAATAACGTGCTGTGGTTTTAAGTCTCTTAAGATAGTGTTTCCCAACCTGTGGGTTGGGGAATATGGGGGGGTATCTGATGAAGGCAGTTTTGACACTTGAAACCTTACGTCCCCCAAACCTTTTTGGTCTCTGAGGTGCTACTGGACTTGAACCCGCAAGGGCTGTGCATTTGTTTCATCCGTTAGCTTTCACTGAGAGTTAATTGACCGAGTAGTAAGACTACTAGGGAAATTAACAAAGTCAGTGTGTAAATACCTTAGAAAGCATTCTGGAGCTTCCTATGCTCTTTAGGTACAGACAGTGTGATGGCAATAAACTTATCAGTCATTGACACCCACACAAGTATCACATTAAGATAAAAAGCCAGATGAAAATTAGATCTCCTGGCCGCCACTCTGAAATACTGTCCCCGTGCTACCTCGCTTACTGTTTCATAATACTGAGTCTGAGTCATTCACTGATGGTTTTGTTCTGATGCTCTTGAGCCACCGGGATGTATCTGTTGCTGTGATACAGTTTCCCAATAAGCAATCATCCTATATTTGGTCAAGCAAGATGCATTTTTTCGGTCATTTGTATTCACATTCTTTCAGTGCTGCTATTGTACACTGGGCAAAAGGCCCGTTCTGTTCTACAAGTACCCCTACCTCTGAATGTAGGTGGCTCATAACGCTCTGCATTCTGAGCCCTGTAGCCCCGAGAACGTTTGTCCGGTTCAGCTCGTAACCTCACCGAGAAGATAATGTCTCAGTGCATTGTTTCCTGTCCTGTTTCCTACCTCTCTTTTCCCTCAAACCATCCAGTGGTAGGCCTCCTATTTATTTGCCAGGGGCAAGGAATTGTCAGCCCTCAGCCCCAGTTTCCCACCCCCCCAGGGAACTTCAGAATGGGAGCAAAAATGGCCTCCACATTGTGGCACTCTAGGAATTTTCCCAGTCCCATAAAGGCTAGAGAAGTCAGTCTACTGCATCTGCCAAAAGTGATATAATTTCTTCCCCAAACTAATGTCCTGGCCCCACTGGTGGACCTCCTGATGACACTGGTATTTCTGGCCACTGTGTGATACAGAGTGTTGGACTGGATGGGCCTTTGGCCTGATCCAACATTGGCATCTCTTATGTTCTTATGTATTCCCCAGGCACAGCCCCTAAAATCTTCCTCCATTTGCCAAGGCAGTTTTGGGAATCCTCTTCAGTGGTGGAGTGGCAAAGTCTCTCTGCAGCCCTTTGTAAGAGGTCTTAGAACCGTCAGCTATTGCAATAGGTGCATTCCACATGCAAGGAGTCTTCAGAAATATAGAGCCAAACTACTGGAGACAGCATCCCTGAGTTTGCCCTGTGGGCATGCTGCCATTTTGTAGAGTGGGTTCCCACTGAGGAAGTCCTTTTCACAGTGCCATACAGGCTCCATTCTGGCTTGTACCACTGTGGCATGGGAGAAGGAGGGGCTCCTGCCTCCCCTGTGCCATTTTTCCAGCTCTAAACAGCACTGGAAGCAATCGAATCCTAGCAGTAAAAGCAATTGATTTATGGGGGAGCCCACAAAAGCCCCAATAAATGTATGGGGATTTATGTAATACATTTATGGGGATTTATGTAATACATTTAATTATGGGGATTTATTTAATACATTTAATGTATTTAATACATTTATGGGGATTTATTGATTTAATGTATTTATTGATTTATGGGGGAGCCCACAAAAGCCCCAATAAATGTATTTATGCAAGACTAGGGTTTTTTCAAGGGATACCATAAAAAGGGGAGTACCTTATATTTCCATACATACCTGTTGCTTGTGGGCTGGGTTAGAGCCCTGGACAGGCCAGTTCCGGCCCCAGGGCCTTATGTTTGACACTATGGTTTTTATCATAGAGATAAGGGGAAATTCCTGAAGTGTCACCTGGAAGTGGTATCACATCATTTCAGGTAAGAAGCTTGGAAGGGGAAACAGCCTTTTGTTCAGGATCTTTGCCCACAATCTTAGCCTCTGGCAGCTGGGCTAGGTGGACCAGTGGTCTAACAGTGTAAGGGAAGTCCTAGCCGAAGAATTGGAATTCCACCCAGCTCTGCTCTCTGTCAGTTGCAATCAGCTTAAAAGTTGCAGTAGCTCACCAGGTGCATAGATTTGTGCCAGCCTAGCTGGCTCACTGGCAATCTACATTATCATAGGATGCTGCAGAGAAGAGTTGGCCTTATTCCCTGCCCCCTTACCTTTCTCTTCCAGCTGTATAACAGCTCCACGAACTACCTCTGTATCACATTCAGTGATACTGCTGGAAGGGAACCTGCCGCAGCAAGGCTGTGTGCCGAATTAGCTAACAGTGCTAGAAATCAGGACACTGTGCTAGCTTGCCAGTCACTGGCCAGTTTGTAGGAGTGTGACATAATATTCCGTCTTCAGTTTTCTTTTTGGAGTTTCCCATTGTTTGCTTTAGGTGTACCTCCCCCCCCCCCCCAAACACGCAATGGCTTTCATAGGAAGAACCTTATTGCAATTTCTTGGACGAAACTCAAACATGTGGAGTTCAAATTTAAAACATCTACCCTCTGTAACTTGAAGTCAGATAGGTTCAAAATTATTGCAAAGCTCTGGAAAATCGCAAGGGGTATGGTGACAAAACTCAGAAGGGGGGAGATTAAGAATGAGGAATGGAAGGGTTCACCTTGAGCCCTTTACAAAATGGACCTCAATGTTACTGAAGTTTGGGCCTGTTAATAAAACCTTGGCTTGTTGATTGGCATTCTCTACTGCCAGTACAACATCTTCCTTCCCTCCTTCTTCCCACCCAACCTTACTTGGTGGTGGTACCACCGGCATTGCATGAGACTAGTGGTGGGGTTAGGTCTTTGATGTGTCCCAGCGTCAGAAACCATGAGACATGTGACTTCTGTGGACCATACGCCCCTATTAGGTGCATCCTCTGCTGCCAGTGATTTTGCACATTTAATTGGGAGTCAGCCCCACCAAACACAGTGGAGTTTACTACAAGGAAACTGGCATAGGAGCTGCTATTAGCTAATGTAAGCTAAAGTTGAATGATTTGTAGGAATGCTATTAAGGAACTGAAGCAGGGCATACACCATATATTTCAGACAGCAGCTGATTAGGAGCACTTGTATTTCTGCCCAGGTTATTGGTTTTGCATATTGATTATGTTATAAACAGTTGAATGAGCTTATGCAGTACAAATGGCATGTCAGAGGAAAAAAATCTCTTTCTTAAAAAAACAGATAAAAACCTGGCGGGGTTGGCCTGTGTTGATGACAGTGCTGCAGCTGGTATAATGCATAACATGTAATCACAGAAAATGCTCAAAGAACGTAACACATTAATTTTGCGAAGTGCTCCCCCCCCTCCCAGACGGTGCTTTTGCCTGTCTGTGGCTATATAAAATGGTAGAATTTCTTGCTACTACTAACCTGTTTCCCCGAAAATAAGACATCCCCCGAAAATAAGACCTACTTACAGTTTTGCCTCTCACTGAAATATAAGGCATCCCCCCCAAAATAAGACCTCCCCGAAAATAAGACCTCCCCGATAATAAGGCTTCCCCCGATAATAAGGCCTCCTCGATAATAAGGCCCCCCCGAAGCTACCGTAACTCTGGACTCTGGGCCGTAGTGGTGGGCGCCGCCACACAGCTCACTGTTGGCCGCCGCGCAGCCGGACCAGACAGGAAGTGCGAGGTCTCTTTTAATCAGAGAACCCGCGCCGCTGCAAGGACAAGCTGCCGCCTGCTGCTCGCTCTGCCCTGACAGAGTGTACCGTATTCTTCTTCAAGGAAAAATAAGACATCCCCTGAAAATAAGACCTAGCGCATCTTTGGGAGCAAAAATTAATATAAGACACTGTCTTATTTTCGGGGAAACGAGGGTATATGAGCAAGAGTCAAGTCCAGTAGCATCTTAAGGACCAACAAAGTTTCCAGGGTCTAAACTTTAATGAGTCAGAGCTCTCTTTCGATCCCCACCTTCTCAGGTTAAAACCATCAGGTGAGGCGAACGACCTCTACCTGAGAGCTGCTGCCAGTCAGAGTAGACGATACTGACTTTTATAGACCGATGGTCTGACTCAATATAAGGCAGCTTCATCTGCTCGTAACCATATTGGGAGGGAGCTTTGACTCTCAAAAGCTTATGCCCTGCAAATCTGGTTGATCTTTACAGACTCGAATCTTGCTCTTCTAATGCAGACCAACACAGCTATCCACCTGAAATTTACTCCTACCATTGGCATGCATTTTTTTAGTGCCAGGGCTCCCCACCCTGGCAGCCAGATCCAGGCGCCTGACTCTCTGGGTGCGTTCAGATGCGGCGTTTGCGACGGTATAGGTGCCGGTTGCAATCGGTGCACTTACCGGCATTCACACATAGAACATCTGCCTTCTGTCCCTAACGGTTGCAAAGCCCTTTACACCGTTGTACTCTGCCACTAGGTCCCCAAGTGGTGGTATCCTGAGTACAACGGTTGTAATCATTGTACCCCCGTCTGATCGCTCTCCACCGTTCCAGAGCCACTTCCGTTCGGAAGCCCGAGGCTTCCGATTTTCGCCCGCCATTTTTTTTTGTTATGTTGCCGATATGCGCTTGGACGAAGCTTCGCTCCGGCGTTTGTTTTTTTAAAAAAGAAATGGCCCTTAGTTTAACTTTCCGGAGGAGTCCGGGACTTCAGTGAGCAAAGTCCTTACCTTTAAACATTAAATGTAATACGGGGTGTTTTGAGCATGCGCAAAGATCGCCATTCTGTGGATGGCTGTCTATGCGCATGCTCAAATTGAGTTTAAAAAAAAAAAAAACCGCCGACGCCCGCAGCATGTGAACGGGCATACAGCGATGGGCTCCGCAGTTTAAAAAAAAAAAAAAACCGCCGACGCCCGCAGCATGTGAACGGGCATACAGCGATGGGCTCCGCTGTGAGGGAGGTAAGTCTGATCGCGTTTC